ATCTAAAAACTCTATTTAATGCCTTCCAATGGTTATTTGCTTGGATTACTTTTGAATCTACTAAGTTTATTCATCGCATGCTATACCCGATCGACTGCAATTTTTAATAAACATTCGATTGCCATAACCTATGAATACTTTAGTTGAGACACTGGTACAACATTATTTTGACCAAGTGTAAACTTGAATCAATTGGGGTTTCACTTGCAGTATTATTTTGACCAATTGTAAACTTAAATCAATTGGGGTTTCCACTGACCTTTCCTGATATACATTGTATCCTTTTAGTATGTTCTCAACATCTGAGATTGGGAAAGAAACAATTCCATCATATATTCTACAAATTTCAATTCCTAATATAACGTCTACCATACCCATATCCTTTTATGGCGAAGTGTTTCATCAATATTTTCTTTGTGTTCATGATGATATCATGATCGTTACCCATAATTAAAATGTCATCAACATATAAACACACAATTATATATGACTTAGGAGTATATTTTATGAATAAACACTTATCGCATTCATTAATTTTAAAATCAATTCATGATACTATTATGTCAAACTTTTTGTGTCATTGCTTTGGAGGTTACTTCAAACCTAAAATGGACTTAACGAGTTTGCACACTTTTTTCTTGGTTAGGAGCAATAAACCCTTCACGTTGCTCCAGATGTATTGTTTCTAATTCACCATTCAAAAATATCGCTTTAATGTCCATTTGATGAATCTCAATGTTTTGCAATGCAATAATTACAATCAAAAGTCTAATCAAAGTGATTCTTGTCATAGATTAGAAAGTATTGAAGAAATTAAGATATTCGTTTTATCTATAGCCTTTTGTGACCAAATTTCTTATATTTATCAATGGATCCATCTGGTTTCAATATCTTCTTGAAAATCTATTTACAACCAACTCTTGAGTATAATTCTACATTATGGAATCCATCTCACTATTGATAACTTCTTTCCAATGCGATTAATAAGTATATTTCGTGCGCTTATTCGGGTTATTTGCTAATCTTTTATATCATCAAAGTGTTAATCATATCAAAATAAACTATGTAATAAAAAAAAGTAACTTGTCAAAAGTTTGGCTCAAATCGAGTTCATAATCATCAAGAAAACAACAAACGAAATATTACAAAAAATTGGAAAAAAAATTAAAAATGGAAATTCAAAAAGGAAAATAGTGAATTTTGGCCTCGAAAAGGACACCCACCAGGGTAG